GGAAAAGGCAGGGGGTGGGTAGTGACCCTTTCCAGGGCTGTTTTGGCCTTTGAGGGAGTACCCATTGAGGCATGGCCCGGCATCAACCACTGAGAGACTTGTATCACACACCCAGCTCAGCTGCTTGCTTGAACTCTCTCTCTGCTGTGGAAGCTCACTGAGTGAATTTAGACCAGTCAGATACTCTCAGCCTAACCTACCTTGCAAGGTCGTTGTGAGGATAAAGTGGAGGAAAGAATAATGATGCAAGTTGCTTTGGCTCTCCATTTGTGGAGGGAAGTAGAATAAAACTGAAGTAAATAAACAATAAACAGAGCTGAAGATGAGGGAGAGATAAAAGGTAGATCGGTTGGTGAGTTGGAAGGAGATGAAGAAACAGGGAAATGTGAGGAGGGGGGGGCTTCCAGGAAGAGGAGAAAAGGAAATAGTGTGTGGAGGGGATACAGGTAAAGTGAGATGCCCCCTGCAAGTCCTTGCAGGTTTTCCACTGCACAACTGGACCCAGCTCAGCTGGCACCATAAGAACATAAGAGAAGCCAATGTTGGATCAGGCCAATGGCCCATCTAGTCCAACACTCTGTCACACAGTGGCCAAAAATACCAGGTGCCATCAGGAGGTCCACCAGTGGGGCCAGGATACTAGAAGCTCTCCCACTGTTGCCCCCTCCAGCACCAAGAATACAGTGCATCACTTGCCGCAGAGTTCCTATCTATAACTTGTGGCTAATAGCCACTGATGGATCTTTGCTCCCTATGTTTATCTAATTCTCTCTTGAAGCCGTCCATGCTTGTAGCCGCCACCACCTCCTGTGGCAGTGAACTCCATGCGTTAATCACTTCCTTTTATTTGTTCTAACCCAACTGCTCAGCAATTTCATTGAGTGCCCACAAGTTCTTGTATTGTGAGAAAGGGAGAAAAGTACTTCTTTCTCAACCTGTTCTATCCCATGCAGAATCTTATAAACCTCGATCATGTCACCCCTCAGCCATCATTTCTCCAAGTTAAAGACCCCCAAGCATTTTAACCTTTCTTCATAGGGAAAGTGTTCCAACCCTTTTATCATTCTAGTTGTCCTCTTTTGCACTTTTTCCAATGCTATAGTATTCTTTTTAAGGTGTGGTGACCAGAACTGTACACAGTACTCCAAATGAGGTCGCACCTTTGATTTATACAGGGGCATGATGATACTGGCTGATTTGTTTTCAATTCCCTTCCTAATAATCCCCAGCATAGCGTTGGCCTTTTTTATTGCAGTTGCACACTGTCTCAACATTTTCATTGAGTTATCTACTACAAGATCCCTCTCTTGGTCAGTCTCTGCCAGTTCGGATCCCATCAATGTGTATTTATATTTAGGATTTTTTGCTCCAATGTGCATCACTTTGCACTTGGCCACATTGAACCCATTTGCCACGTTGATGCCCACTCATCGATCCTTGACAGATCCCTTTGCAGTGCCTCACAATCCTCCCTGGTTCTCACCACCCTGAACAACTTCGTGTCATCTGCAAATTTAGCCACTTCACTGCTTACTCCCAACTCCAAATCATTAATAAACAAGTTAAAAAGCATTGGACCGAGTACTGATCCCTGTGGTACTCACTCTCTGTTTCCTATTAATTAGCCAGTTTTTGATCCACAAGAGGACTTGTCCTTTTATCCCGTGACTATTGAGCTTATTTAGGAGCCTTTGATGAGGAACTTTATCAGAAGATTTCTGGAAGTCAAGGTAAACAACATCTATTGGGTCCCCCTTGTCCACAAGTTTGTTCACCCCCTCAAAGAACACTAACAGGTTAGTAAGACAAGATCTTTCCTTACAGAATCCATGCTGAGTCTGCCTCAATAGTTTTTGTTCATCAATGTGCCTACTAACCTCACTGAGACTAGCTTTCCACCACTTAAAGGAATCCTTGGCCCCGGTCACATGAGCCGGATATTGTGGGGGGAGGCATGGCTAATTGCTCCGGAGGAAACTAACGCGCAGCCGCCCGAGCACACGTCCCGGTCGAGGTCCCGTGGTTAGGGGGGAGATGCCAACCAGACGGGTATCATGAAGCACAGCACAGAAGCCGCACGGCGCAATCGCACTAGCAATTGCTCTTTGTGCGCATGTGCTGTTGGGCGCTGTTGCGCAACTTGCGTAGACGGGCGCCAGATGCCACATAAGTCCACCGGAAACGCAATCAGACGCCTGCCCTTGGCCCGCGGTTTCTGGAAAGTAGTACCTCGTAAGTACTAGTTTTTTAATCTGCACCTTCGGCGGGAAGCCACGGGTTCACCACGGGAGCACTGCGCTTCCCAGATGTTGGTGTGTGATCGCGCCCGGAAAATCCCCGGGACTTCCGTGCCTCTCCCGCGGCAACTTTGCCATGTGACCGAGGCCCTTCTTACCTTTTACAGCTTCCATTACTTTGTTTGTTATCCATGCAGGCTTTCTTCTATACCTATTTGTGCTTTTCCTAACCTGAGGTGTATATTTTTTCTGAGCTTCTAGGATTGTTATTTTAAATAGTCCACAAGCTTCGCCAATGGTTTTGACCCTTTCTACTTTTCCCTTCAGTTTCTTCCTCACATGTCCCCTCATATCAGAGAAGTTACCCCTTTTAAAGTTAAAAGTGGTTGTGTCAGTCTTTTGGGGCAACTCCCTATTTATACAAATGTTAAACTTAATAACATTATGGTCACTGTTCCCAAGTGGTGCAATCACTTTTACATCTCTCACCAGGTCTTGGGCATTAGTTAGGACCAAATCCAGGATTGCCTCTCCCCTGGTAGGTTCTGTGACCATCTGTTCCATAGCACAGTCATTGAGAGTGTCTAGAAACTTAATCTCTTTTTCCTGACTTGAACATATATTGACCCAATCAATGTGTAGGTAGTTAAAATCACCTATTATGACACAGTTACTTCATCTAGCCGCTATCTTTAATTCATTCATCATTTTATAATCATCCTCTATCTTTTGATCTGGTGGGTGATAACAAACTCCCAGTGTTAAGCTTCCTTTTGGGTCCACTATTTCAACCCATAGCATTTCCAGAAGCGAATCCTATTCTCTTACCCTCTCAGTCTTGCTGGACTGTATACCCTCTCTGACATACAGAGCCGCCACACCTCCAACCCTTCCCTCCTTATCCTTTCGATATAATTTATATCCAGGAATCACCGTATCCCACTGGTTTTTCTCATCCCACCAAGTTTCTGAAATACCCACAATGTCTATCCCCTCCCAACACCAGGCATTCCAATTCCCCAATTTTACCTCAGACACTTCTAGTATTTGTGTATAAACACCTATAGTTTCCCATGCATGTTAAGCCCACAACCTTCCTCTTGCTGCCTCGAGACCTTGCCAGGCAGTCCATATCATTAGTCACAGTCTCAGTGGATAATTCTAATCCATTTCCTTGTAGAAAAGTAACAGCTACCCCTTCATCTCTTTGAGATGAGCCATTCCGAACCAGAGACTTTTCATCTCCTGTTGGCTTTCCCCCAATATTCAGTTTTAAAACTGCTCTGCCGCATTTTTGATTTTAAGCACCAGCAGCCTGGTTCCTTCTCGGGACAAGTGGAGACTGTCTCTTCTGTACAGTTCCCTCATGTTCCAAAAAGTATCCCAGTGCCTAACAAACTTGAACCCTTCCCCCCAACACCATCGTCTCATCCACGCAGTGGGACTCCTGATCTGTGCCTGTCTCTCTGGCCCTGCGTGTGTAACAGGTAGCACTTCTGAGAAGGCTACCGTGGAGGTTCTGGCCTTGAGTTTCCTGCCTAGCAGCCTAAATTTTTCCTCCAGGACCTCACGACTGCATTTCCCCACATGGTTGGTGCCAACATGTACCACGACCACTGGCTCCTCCCCAGTACTATCTACCAGCCTATCTAGAACACGCGTACTGTCTGCTACCTTCGCACCAGGAAGGCAAGTCACCATACGGTTGGTACGCAGGTTCGCCACCCCGCTGTCTACCTGCCTGAGGATTGAATCACTCCCTCCCTCCCTGCCAAGGGATGGTTCCTTGGTGCAAAAGGATACCCGTTCACCAGCTGAAGAAGAGGTCCCTTCTGAGGGCACATTCCCCTTATCCGCAGCACGGTGCCCTGTTTCCCCTCGACCCTCATGCTCCCTGACAGCGGTGGGGCTGCCATGCTCAGAGTGGGACATATCTACCCCCGAGAGTCTTCTCCGTGTGCCTAACTGACTGTCTCTGCTTCTCCAGGTCTGCCACCTTGGCCTCAAGGGAGCAAATTCGTTCCCTGAGAACCAAGAGCTCCTGTCACCAGGAACACACCCAAGACTTCTGTCCAGTGGGCAGATAGTCATACATGTGACACTCCATGCAAAGCACTGGATAGCCCCCAACCCCCTTCATACTTGCTTTTAAAATAATTATTATATATAACCCCCCTTCTAAAACCCTTTGTATTTATGTGGATCTCCTTGTAGAAGTCTACTTACTTTACTGCATGCAACTGGCCAGAGTTTTCCCGGTGACAGGGTGCCTATGGGAGGGAATATAATCTTTTCAACTGCAAGGGTTGTTAGGAAACAGTATAGATAGCAGTACTGGACCTCCCTTTATACTAGAAAACTAACAAATAATTAAGTCAAGCTGTTGTGCCTTCCTTACTCCATATTTGGTCAGGCTCTTTTCCATATTATTCCTTCAGCATAATCAAGCAGTAGTGAATTTCTTAACTAAGTTGTTAACCTTTGTATAGCAAATTCAAATAATGAACCACACATAGACAGAGGTAACGCCCATTAATGATACAGGAAGCAGAGCTTTACATGAGTGGTATTTCCCATTATTGTAAAATTTGTGTCAAAGTCTACTTCTTTTAAAATAAATATTTTTATTTTCTGGTTATAAATTCTTAGTCATTTGTTTAAACATACAAAAGGTTGCATTATTTTGCACTAATGTTTCAAGAGTGTAAATACTTATTCTCTTAAAATTATGGTGGAACTGATTTTGTTTTTTGCATATTTCAGGTAGTTTTCGAAGTGGTCACTTCAGGTCACCAAGGATACCTGGCTGTTGATGATGTGAAGGTGTTAGGACATCCATGCAGTAAGTAGATTAGTGTTGCAATTTCAAATTATTTTGGAATGTTGCTGTCTACATTGTTGTCCATAGAAGATCCCATAGCATCTTGAATTGTATTAAAGTCTACATCAGTTTTGAAAATGGCATTTCTCAAGGGCATTCTAAAGCGATGTAGGTCAAGTGTGATATGGGGGAGTGCAAACACTGAGGAGAATGGCAAGTTAGAGCTGCCGTGAGCAAGGAAATTGAAATTAGAAAATTGTTTCTTCACCTCTTCATCAAAGAGAAATGTGTGAGTAAAGGCAAATCACTGTCTACTTTGGGCTTCCCTGCCATGCCAGCCTTTCTGTGGTATCACTCCAGGAACTTCAAAGCCAAAACATTCTGGAGATGATGATGGGAGTAGACAAGCAGTCTGTTGATGAGAGTGACCATACAAAGAGTTTAGCTGATGCACTGCGCTGTAATATTAAATATACACTTCTACCTATCTACTGTGTCTGTTGACACGTGTTACTGTCTTGAATGGAGAGTGATCATAGTATACTGAAATGAGAAATAATAGGATTTCCCTGTTTCTATACTTTTATTGTAGAAAAAATGATATATTGGCATCTCATATTGCAACTTTTAATTGTCAGATATCAAATTGAACTCAAAAATTATGCTTTGCCATAAAGGACTCAGAGTTTCAAAAGAAGATCTATGGTATGTGTAGCCTCGAGGTCTCCCTATGGCCCTGTCCACGGAGTGGTGCCCGCAAAGGCTGAGGATTTTAGCAATCTTGGGAGGGGGCGGCCCTCTATATGTGCAGTTGGTAAACTGCCAAGAGGGCAGGTAATGCTGAAAGAACATTCATTTCTTCATCCAACTCACAGGCGTAGTCCTGCACAGGGGTAATGCTGAAAGAACATTCATTTCTTCAATTCACAGGTGTAGTCCTGCACAGAGTAGCTTCCCCAGTCCCTGGAGCCTGGCTGCCTAGGTTCTCTCACCTCTCCGCACACTTTCCAAGACCATCTGTTCCTGCCTCTATTTAGCATCCAGGCTCTTCCCTCCAGTTACTTAATGTTACTGTCATTAAGTCCACCTCTAGCAACTGTTGAACACCTGGGAGTCATGGGGTGGGGGCAGCCCACGCATTCCTCAACATCTCCTCTCCTGACTGGGCAGCTTTAGAGCCTAATAATCAGCCTCAGCTTAGGAAGTGCCCTTCTGGCCAGACCCATGCCATGAGTTTACTGATGCCAGCCCCACCTTTCCCTGCACCCTGTGCTCTGTATGCTTCCCTGTACACCTTTGTACCACAGTATGATTGGCTGGAATTGCCTTCTAATTGCTTTCTAATTGATTTGTACCATTGAGATAGAGTGGCATAGTGGTTAAGAGTGGCAGACTCTAGTCTGGAGAACCACTATAACATATTGTTACAGCAGCAATGAAAGTTCAACAAACAAACAAAAAAATCTTGTTTACTGGTACCTACCAGAGTGCCTGGTTTTAGTTCAAATAGTGTGACATTTACGATGTTACATCCATGAAGACAGGGGTCATTTCGTAGAACAAGAGGTGCAGGAGTGCCTGGTTTTAGTTCAAATAGTGTAACATTTACGATGTTACATCCATGAAGACAGGGGTCATTTCGTAGAACAAGAGGTGCAGGAGCTCATTAGCATAACTTATTTGCATATGCCCCACCCCCTGACATCACCGGAAGTGTGTCAGGAGGCAACATCCACCGCTCAGGCTCCACTGGACTGTTTTGGATTGCTAGCTGTTGGGGGGGGGAACGTGCAGATCTGTCCTCACAGAGGAGGGAGAGCTTGTACCTGAATAAAACTTGGTCTTAAAGGTGCCACCGAACTGTTTTGGATTGCTAGCTATTGGGGGGGGGGAACGTGCTGATCTGCCCTCACAGAGGAGGGAGAGCTTGTACCTGAAGGCGGGCCGGGGGGGCTCTGCAATTTACCTGGCTACTTCTTGCTCCTCATGGCTCAACTGAGGGCTGCTGGGAGCAAGGGTTGGGGCTTGTTGCATGTGCCCGCCCCCTGGGTTCCTTACTGCCGGAGCTCCGCTCCTGTGCACTTCCGCAGGAAATAACCCCTGCATGAAGATATCAATTACTTAAAAATGCTTTAGCAGTAGTGAAGGCTGGAAGTATTGTAGATCATGCTGATATTCAGGTATTCTACTAGTCGGGGAAATGAATTGCAGGCTGCAATAGTTGTTGAATCTATTTTAAATTCAATTTCCCTCTCACATATTGTTTACAACAATGTAAAATTTTGTAGTTGGAAATGTTATGCCATAACTGTAGCCTATTAGGCAATCCTAAAATAAAAATAAAAATACAGTACCTGACTTAAAAATAGTTGTCTTGACAACTTTCTGCTCTTGTCTACTAACTGGTGTAAATATCTGCTGTGGCTTTATTAAAAACATCAATTAGATTTCAATATAATCTTTATAAACATAGAAACTGTTTTATAAGAGGATTAGTAAGCTAAGATCATTTACTCAGTAGGAACAATATGTTAGCACCTTTTTCTTTTGTTATGTCCTATATTCTTGTAAAAAAGGAACCATAGTCATGTAAAACAGTCTATAATGCTAGGTACAATTAGAGTCAAATATTTTAAAACACATTTCACACAAGGTGTTTTTTGGTACCAATATAATTAGAAAAGGTTTAAAACTCCAGTTATTTTTTAAATGTCAATTAGAAAGGCAAATTATGAATAACTTTTTTCTGTCTCTCTCCCCGTCTTTTATTTCCAACAGCCAGCACACCTCATTTCCTGCGTATTAAGAGTGTAGAAGTCAATGCTGGGCAGTTTGCTACTTTCCAATGCACTGCCAATGGCAGGACAGCTCAAGGCAATAGACTGTGGTTGCAGGTAATCTTTTTCTTTCTTTTCTACAAAACGAGACTCTTAAATATGGTGTGACTGATAAGTTTTGGATCCAGATGAGGATCATGTGTACATGTGAGATCTGCTACTATGAAAAAAGACAACATCACTAATACAAATCTTGCTAATTCTTGTAAGTATTGCTGTTGGATCTTTAAAAATATATGTTTGAGATCCACTGTTCCAAATTATGACAGCATGAATATTTGTAGTGGGAAAAGTATGGTGGTACTGTGTTGCTTGAGAGTGAATTCTGGCTCTCTGGAGTTTCTTTGTTTATGTAGTGCTATTAGTGTATATGGCAGTTTACCAAATACAAGAAGAGAAATGTCTGTACCATAGATCCTTCAGTCTGCTATTTGAGACAAGGATGACAATAAAAGGAGTAGGGGAAGGTGGTGGCAGGGCTAAACGAGGGAAGAATATGTGTTTGTTTTAACTGGACATTCAGTGGGAGATCAAGGCTAAAAGGTTGTGCCAAAAGCTAAACTTAGGCCCCGGTCACACAGAGCATTTGCCCCGCTGAAGGCTCGGTACTCCGCCGGATTTTCCGGGCGTGATCTCACCTGAAAATCTGGGAGGCGTAGCACTCCCATGGCCAACCTGTGGCAAGCCGCCAAAGCCACATAGTTAAAAGCTACCAGGATCTCGACCTACCAGCAAATGGTTTGCCACGGGCTGCCTCCAGACTCCTGTGGTGTGATCGTGCTGGCGTCCTTTTTGCTGCATGTGGCGACGGTGGAAGCCCCGGTGTGCCGCCATCAAGTCTGATCGCCTACTCGCGCATCAGATTGTGATGGCGCAAAGAGCCATGCCTCCCCCCTGCGTTTTCTGGCCCGTGTGACCGGGGCCTTAAAAAGGTATGCTATAAGGAATGGTTTGAAGGAAGTGTGTGAGGTGGTGTCCCACAAGTATTCTGAGAGAGAGTTCCACACATAGCAGATCCTAAGTGAGAAGAGGAAGAGCAACTTGAGGGGACCTTTGGACAACAGGGTGGTGGAACTAGAGAAGCAAAGATTATGGGCTGGGATGTGCCAGAATATCAGCGCAGAGGAATAAGTGGGGCCAAGGCCGCGGAGGTCTCCGAAGGTAAATCTCACAGTAGAGAGCAAGTTAGTTTACTGATGTAAAGAGAGGTACTCCATTGTCAGAATAACAGGAGAAAGCAATTTTAGAGGCAGAGCTTTGAACAAGGGTCCAAGTTGTAGAGAACAGAAAGGAGGCATTGCAGTAGTCAAGGTAAGAGATGACCTGCGTGTGAACCATGTTTTCACGAAAGTGTTAGAGAAGAAGCACCATTCTTCTACAGTATAGTAAAGAGAGATTTGATGACAAACTGAGTATGGGGGGAAATGAGAAAAGTTAAAGACAGAGCAATGGATATGGAGAATATGTGAGGAGACAGAAAGTTCTGGGGTGTATGAGAAATTAGAGGTGGTGATTTTCAAAAGGGAGTATTAAACAGGCAGCTAGTGGGTAGGATTGGTAGGAGGGAGAAAGATCAGAGATAGAGAGGTAGTCCTGGTATATTACCAGCAGTTTGAAGCCATGGTATTTTATGAGGTCACCCAGATACTTTGTGTAGAGAGAAAAAAGAAGAGGGCCAGGTACAGATACCTAGGAGACTGGCTGAGAGAGAAATTAAAGAGAAAACTTCCCCCTGTGGAACACTGAATGAGCAATTAGGCAGGATGAGAACAATCACATAAATTTAGTCCATAAAGAAGAACAGATTTCACAGTGTTATTAAAGGAAGAAGAAAGGTTAAGGAAGATGAGATAGTGTAGTGATTCGTAGATCTGACTGTGAGGAGATTATTGGTGATGGGCAGAAGGGGGTCAGGTGTGGAGCTGGAGGAGGGAAATTTGAAACAGTGGGAATAGGCAGCATGTTCACAATGTTTGGAAGCAAAGGAAGCTAGGAAAATTGGGTGGTACTGAGGAGGATGAGAAGTAAGGACATAAAAAGTGAGTAAGAGGTGCTTAATTGCCGTGAATCAGGGATGTGTAATACCGTTGCTTAACTAGGGCCCCAGCCACACGGACAGGAAAATGCAGGGGGGAAGCGTGGCTGTTTGCCCCGGAGCAAAATAACGCACGGCTGCACGATCAGACGTCCCGTACAGGTCCTATCGAGGTCCCGTGGTTAGGGGGGGTGCCGATCACAGGACAATCCTGTGGCGCGGCAAAGAAGCGGCCTCTCTAGCAAAAGGCTCAGTGGGTTTAACCCCTTCCAGGGCTGCAGAGGAATGCAAACTGTGTCCTCTGTCAGGTCCCCTCTAGGAGGAGCTTCAGCCGGGCCGCCCTCCTGCAACGCCCCTCCTGCACCTCCCCCTCTGCCGCCCGGTGCAGAGAGTTCCTCTCGAGCAGGCCGAGCCAGGAGTGGGGGGGTACAGAAAAGAGGAGGGGGCTGTGTTGTTTGTTTTTAAATGAAAGTGTGTGCATGCGCCGTTGGGTGCTTGTGCGCATCCCGTGGAGACTTGGGGGGAAAAACCCTTTTAGCGACGGGACATGGGCGGGCACCGGATGCCACGACCTGCCACCTGGAAACGCGATCAGGCGCCCGCCCTTGCCCTGCGGTTTCCAGAAACTAGTATCTCGGAGGTACTAGTTTTTTACCCCACATCTTCGGTGGGAAGCCTCGGGTTCGCCACGGGAGCTCTACGCTTCCCAGATGTGGCGTTGTGATCGCGCCCGAAAAATCCGCCTATCTTCCGTCTCTGTAGCGTGGCTAATGCTCCGTGTGACCGCAGCCTAGGTAGATTTCATGCATAAATTTATATGAGAGGAAATCAACCAACTCTTTTTTTCTTCCTCAGAGGCTTTCAGCTATGTGAGAGAGTGAATAGAGTTAGATGGAGAATAGAATTAAATGGAGGGAGTGTGCTAGGTCAAGGGATGAGAAGGGTTAATGGTTTGTAGGAAGATAGGGGTAAGTGTTGAAAAATAAAAACATGGATAACATTAATGCAGAAGGTGTAGAGTCTAGGTGCTGAACAGAATATTCCGTCTCTGTAGCGTGGCTAATGCTCCGTGTGACCGCAGCCTAGATAGATTTCATACATGGAAGGGGTAAATTTATATGAGAGGAAATCAACCAACTCTTTTTTTCTTCCTCAGAGGCTTTCAGCTATGTGAGAGAGTGAATAGAGTTAGATGGAGAATAGAATTAAATAGAGGGAGTGTGCTAGATCAAGGGATGAGAAGGGTGAATGGTTTGTGGGAAGATAGGGGTAAGTGTTGAAAAATGAAAACATGGATAACATTAATGCAGAAGGTGTAGAGTCTAGGTACTGAACAGAATACAGGGACAGTACTTCTGACAGAGCCAGTTAATTGATCAACCACAAATCACAGGGGGAAATGTGGAACTTTGGGAAGATGGACTCTTCAGTGTGGAAAGAGATGAAGTGGTCAGGCACCCACAGAGCAGCTCTTGGTGAAAACAAGTGAGTGCCCAAGGTAATGTGTGGGGATGAGGTTAAGAAAAAGAGACAGAAAGCTGCTGGGTCTGAACATGAAATTTCCAAGGAGCAAGGCAGAAGTGTTGCCAGAGAAGAAGGAAGTGAGCCAGGCATTAGATCTGAAAAAAGGCTGAAAGTAAGTTAGGGAGGCAATACAGAACTGAAATACCAAGTCGCGAGATGAGTTGACTTGTACAGATTGAACTCCAAAAGGCAACATAGAACTGGGGGTGGCTTGATCAGGACACCTTGCAGGAAGGGTGGGCAATAAGTTTTTTCCCTGAGCCTTTAGCAAATTAGAGCCATACTGCTTCTATGAAGTTTGGAGAAAAGCCACATTGGCTAGTGCAGTGTTGACTTTGTAAAGTACCTTTCTCATCCCTCCTTTGCAAAAAGTCTTGGAAACCATTGCTGCAGTTGCTAGGATGCAAGTGGGCTGCTATATTGATCTCACTGTATTCATAACTGAAGGTCTACAAGGTGGTGCATGTCTAGGCTGTGGCACTGTGACACATGGGATAAAGGAAATGAAGCAAAACACTTCAAATCTAATAGATATGAATAGTCTTCATTAAGACTTGCAGCATTATCCATTTGAGATGAGATAACAATACAATATTTATAAAGACTTTAAATCTTCTGCTCTTGTTGTACTAAGTAAAAGCCTACATAAATCATGAGAAGGGGCTTCCCAGATAGCACTTATTTTGTTGCTCTGTTCACCCACTACTGGTGTGAAGTAACAATGCTTTCTTTGAAGTTGTATAAAGCAGATGTTTGATGACTGAACAAGCAGTGTTTGACATCCGTTATTCCTCTATAGTATGATATCATAATGCAGAACCCCTACCCTACAACCATCTGACTCTGGATATTTTTATTTCATAATTCCTTATTAGAGAAGAAGGTATATCAGTGGAAAATTCTTTAAAAAAACAATGTGGGAATTTCCCCCTAGCAAAGAAGCGCTGTGCAACCATGATAAGTTGTTTGCAGAGCTTGAAATAGTTTGTTTTTCCTCTACTCTTTAGTTGTATTCAGATAAGTGTACCTATTCCTTAAGGCTGTTTTCCAGGGTATATACATAAACCATGGCAATTAGGTTATACCTAAAGAACCTAAATGGTAGTCTTATTTTTCAGATTTGAAAGCCATTCACCCAGAGGAGTACAGTCCTAACAGCATGGATATTAATAATTTGGGTTTTTCTGCATCAAGAAAAAAATATTAACGCAAAAGATAAAATGAAATTTTTGAATCAGCTGACTGGTTTATTGAATTTTCTGGCCGTTGTAGCCACTCAGTCATTGCTTTGCATGAAAGAAGAAAGAATAATCTCAGGATGGTGAAATACCTTATGTAATGACTTTAATCTGATCCTGATCCTTTTTCAGATGAACAATAAATCATGAGATTTGATTATATGCGCATCAGGTAATGTGAAGACAAATTGTCCCTAACTGAGCCAATTTCACCTTAGGTTAAAGTCAAATGAAGGAAATCAGGCCTGTCATGCAGCTTT